GCCGAGGCCGGCGCCCGCGTGCCCCGGGCGCTGCCCGCACCGGCCGAGCTCCGCCGCGGATCCAGGCCTCCCAGCGGGGGTTCGAGCAGATGTCTGGGCCGGGCGAATCCACGACCAATCGATGTTCACCCTGCTATCGACTAGGCGTAAGAGTGACCCTTCGCCGGAGTGACCTTTGGTGCGGGCACGGATGGGCCCCCAGAGGGCCGAAAGAGAAGCGGTAGCAGCGGCTTGCGCGCTTGTTTTTGCCCCCCCCCCCCCCCCCCCCCGCGATCACGAAAAGCCGCGCACCAAAGGTCTTTCCTACCCAGGGTCACTCTTGCGTGGAGCCGAAATGTTGATGTTCACCACTCATAGGTTTGTTGTCACCAAGGGGCGGCCCAAGCACCGCGAATAGATTTGTCTCCGCACCTTCCAGCTGAAGAGGCGGCCAGAAAATGATGCACCGTACGTTGTCCCGTGGCGTTCCTGCGAAGCGCCAGGGAACGGAGCCCAGATACCTGAGTAGTGTATGTGCTCGCGTTTCCCAAGGTGGCGTCGGAGGATCGCGCCGCATCGCCGATGCCTCGCCAATGCAGCTCGATGTGGAGCCCGATCTTCTCCACGCCGACGGCGCCGATATCGCCGACGTCGCCGATGCAACGGCGATGTGACGCGATGCTCCGACCCCGTGTGCTGCGACCCCCGTCTGGGAGGCCTCCAGCTGATGACGGGGCGTGCGGCGCACGTGCGGGGCCGAGGACCTCGGAGGCTCGCCGCTGGCAGCTCCGAGGGCCCGCCGTGGCACGGCGCGAGCGCCCAGGGCAGGTCACGCTGTGGCGCACCGTACCTGATGTGCTTGTTTTCCACCACCACCACAAGTTGGAGAGGGAGGATGAGGAGGAGGAGGAGGAGGAGGAGGAGGAGGAGGAGGACGAAGAGGACGAAGAGGACGAAGAGGACGAAGAGGACGAAGAGGACGAAGAGGACGAAGAGGACGAAGAGGACGAAGAGGACGAAGGAGGAGGAGGAGAAGGAGGAGGAGGAGGAAGTGGAGGAGGAGGACCCCCTCCCCCTCCAACTTATGATGGTGGTAGTGGAAAAAAAGGCCCATCAGTACCGGCCAGGACGCTCATGCGTTGCCACCGGCGGCGGAGCTGAAGCCTCGCCAGCGTCTGCCGTGGAAGGCCACCACGCGAGGAAGAAGACAGAGAAAGGCATAAGCACAAGCTTCCAGAGCTCCGCGCGGAGTTCTTGGATCGGCGCGGGGCCCCCCATTCCTGGCGCGCAGAGCGCGCCAGAGGCGCCGCCAGGGGGCCCAGCGCCTATCCGAGAAGTCCGCGCAGACCGTCGAAAGGTTCCGTTCACGCAGGTCTTTCGTCCTCCATCCGCGACCCGCGCAGAGCACATTGCGAGACGATGGTCCGCCTCCCCGTTTCGGGTGTTGCCAGGAAGGTCCCTGGCCCTGGGCCCCCTGGCGTTGTGGAAAGAATCGCGACTGGGGGCCCTCGTCGGGCCGCTGGGGGCCCTCGCCGGGCCCCAGAACAGTCCAGGAACGACTCGGGATGAGAAGCCTGTCCCGGGGAAGGGATGAGGAGGAGGAGGACGAGAAGGAGGAGGAGGAGGAGGAGGAGGAGGAGGAGCAGCAGGAGGAGGAAGAGAGGAGAGGAGGAGGAGGAGGAGGACGAGGAGAGCAGGAGGAGGAGAGCAGAGGAGGGAGGGGGGAGGAGGAGAGGGCGGAGAGGAGGAGAAGAGGGGAAGGAGGAGGATGAGGAGGAGGAGGAGGAGGAAAAGAGGAGGAGGAAAAGAAGGGAGAGGAGAGGAGGAGGAGGAGGAAGGAGGAGAGGAAGAAAGGAGGAGGAGCAGGAAGGAGAGGAGGAGGAGGCGGGAGGAGGAGGAGGAGGAGGAGGAGGAGGAGGAGGATGGAGAGGCGGGCAAGGAGAAGAGGAGAGGAGGGTCGGAGGGCGAAAAGAGTAAGAAGGGAAGGAGAGGAGGAGGAGGAGGAGGCAACAAAGGGTAAGGAGGAGAGGGAGGAGTGTGGGGGAAGGGGAGGGGGGAGGAGGGGAGGGGGGCCAGGAGGAAATCCAGTGTAAAACCAAGAGTCATCAGCGATGTTGGAATTAACCCTCCCTCCAAGCTCGCTCGTCATAGGCCCCCGCAGCGGTTCATTTCCATTGAGGGAGCTGCCTCGTTGGAAGACAACCGTTTGGTATGCCAAAACACGGTTCTCGGGATTTCAACGCCACGTATCAACCTGACTGTTGCCTCTTGACGATATGAAATCGTGCCAGAGCGACATTTTGGGACATCAGCTCCGCGAAACATGATAACTGTTGCACCCGCATAATCCTGAATCCTTCACAATTTCTGGTACGCTGATCATGGGAATCCGTGGAACTCGTGCACATTTTGACAACGAATGTGCGCGGCGCGAAGGCGAGATCCACATGTTGAAACATATCCGCCCTCAATTCGTGAAACTCTTGCATTTTTTTCAAAAACGAATGTGCGCGGCGCTAAGGCGAGAGCAACATTTTGAAAGCGACCCGCCCTCAATCCGTGAAGCTCGTGCAACTGTTCGAAGCGAATGTGCGTGGCGCTAAGGCGAGAGCCACATTTTGAAGACGGCCCGCCCTCAATCCGTGAAGCTCTTGCAATTTTGTAAACCGAATGCGTGCGGCGCTAAGGCGAGAGCAACATTTTGAAAATAACCCGCCCTCAATCCGTGAAGCCCTTGTAATTTTGTAAACCGAATGTGCGCGGCGCTAAGGCGAGAGCAACATTTTGAAAACGACCCGCCCTCAATCCGTGAAGCTCGTGCAAATGTTCGAAGCGAATGTGCGCGGCGCTACGGCGAGATCCACATCTTGAAAACGACCCGCCCTCAATCCGTGAAACTCTTGCAGATTCCAAAACTAATGTGCGCAGCGCTAAGGCGAGAGCCACATTTTGAAAACAACCCGCCCTCAATCCGTGAAGCTCCTTTGCAACACTTGAAAAGGAATGTGCGCGGCGCGAAGGCGAGAGTTACATTTTGAAAACGACCCGCCCTCCATTTGTGAAGCTGTTGTTATTTTTCTGCTTCAGGGTCATAAATGGTGAGGAAGCCACAGGCGAAACGCCCGGCCCGCCGTAAAAGCTGGCCTCGGGGTGCGACAGGGAGGAGTTATCTACACGGAGAAGGAATGGTGGAGGAGGCGGAGGAGGAGGAGGAGGAGCACGGGTCGAGACCTCCGGGGATGCACGTCGTGGAATTGCCTCGCTGCCTTCAGGGGGCCCGTCGCGAGGCCCACTGCCTCCAGAGCACCCGTCGCGAGGCCCAGAGGGCCCCAGGGGGCCCAGGGGCTCCCAAATGGAGCGGCGAGCTGGGGACGCCTTGGTCCGGGTACACACACCTGTAGCAACCTCCGATGGTTGTGCTCTACATCTAAGCAGCTCCCGCCCATTCGGATCCCCCGATCGCCGAACGCGATGCGATAGTAGCGTCTCGCGCGCTTGTGTTTGGCCCCCCCACACCCTCTCCCGCGGCCCCCAAAAAGTAGCGCACCAGAGGTCACTCTTACACAGGGTCACTCTTGCGCGTACCTGATTCCATCGGCCCATGCCACCAAAAGGGGCGCGATGACGATTTCGCGCCGTGGTCTGGGGCCGGAGAGGGTTGCTCTTGCCCAGGGGGCGGCGCGAGAGCGCGACGAGCGGCTAAGAGAGCGAAGTGAGGTGGCCTGGATACGCATGCCGTGACTTGTCTGTACCTCTTAATTCTCGTTCTTTTGTTCACCCCTCCCACCGACCAGAGGGAGGGGTGTGGGAGGGGGTCGAGGGCGTCGCCTCTGATATGGAGGACGCAGTCCGCAGCTCTCAGCTCTCGGGAGGAGGAGGAGGACGAGGAGGAGAGCAGGGATAATGAGGAAGAGGACGGAGGAGAAAGAGGAGGAGGAGGGGGAGGAGGAGGAGGAGGAGGAGGAGAAGGAGGAGGAGGAGGACCAGTGGAAACCCACGACTCACCAACGATATCACAACACACCCTCCCACCAAGTTCCCTCTTCATAGGTCCCGACAAGGATTCATGTTCACTGAGACAAGTGCCACGTTGGAAGACCATCTGCAATGTGCCAGAACGTCATTCCTGGCACCTCAACGCCGCGAATCACCGTTACTGTTGCGTCGTGACGAATCTGAATCGTGCCAGAACCCCGCTCCGAGAACTTATGTCATTGATGCGCCCTGACGGTCCGACATCGTGCCAGAACACCGTTTCTGGGCCGTTGAGCAGGTGCTCGTTTTTTATGCATTGTTTTGCCGATCGGCGCGGGCCCCCCAACCCCCCCTCCCCCCCCCCCCCCTCATGGAGTAGGTCTTGACTGTTTTTGTCGCGCCTGCGGGTGGGGTCTCCCCCAGGGGCCGCACTCGTGCAAACAGTCGCACTGAGCAGAGATCCGGAGCCAGACCCCCCCCCCCTCCCCCCCCTCCTTTCCGCCCAATGTCGCAACGCCGAATGCAAAAACGCTCACCGTGAGGAGCCTTGAAACTGTCGTAGTGGTAAGTTTCCAGACCAAGAAGAAAGGTGCGAGGCGCTCGGGCGAGAGCCACACTGAAAAGATGGGCCGCCCTACATCCGTAAATCGTCTGCTTTTGCTCAAAACGATTGTGCGCGTCGCTGAGTCGAGAGCGACGCGTTGCAGAGGAGCCTCCCTCTGTCCGTGGGGCTCTTGCAGTCTGTTGCAGCGGATGTGCGCGGCGCTACAGGCGAGAGCCACATTCTGAAAGCGGGCCGCCCTCCATCCGTGAAGCTCTTGCAGTTGTCTAAGACGAGTGCGCGCGCTGCGCTCAGGCGAGGGCCACATGTTGAAAACCACCCGCCCTCCATCCGTGAAGTTCTTGCACGTTTTAAGCTTCATAATCGTGAGTGTTGAGGAAGCCTAAGGCGAAACGCCTGGCCCGCACTAGCAGCCAGCCTCGGGGTGCGACAGGGAGGAATTCTCTGTCAGAAAGATAGATATAGAAGGAGGATAACAGGGATC